CGGACAATAAAATTCGAACCCAAATGTCATACGCATGCATTTGCATATGATTTAACCAGAAACCGAATCCTGGAGCCTAGAGCTTGGAGCCTGGAGTTGGGAACGGAATCAGGTTCCGAATCCAAGGCATCAGTTAGCCGGGGATGTGAATGCAATTGCAGTGGCCAAAGCCCTGGCCCCTCCTGGTTGAAATTGATGCCAGCGGCAAATCATGTACGTCCCTCTGTTTATTCGGGGTATAAATTTGCAGCATAATTTGCAAACGTTCAGTAGATTCACAAAACACACACTCAGCTGGAGTGTGGATAAGAGTGAGTGTGTGTATCCTATGTGCGTGGCTATCCTGCGTGTGCAATTTCCATGGTAAATTGCATTGGTAACTTTCAGGCTGCGGCTGCTCGTGTGTAATTTGTTTAGAAATTATATTTGATGATTTGCAAATTTGCTCACATGGCTGTGGCTGGAGTCCTTCTATTGTCCCGGCACTTTAACCTGTACGAGTACGAGTGTTCATTAGCCTGGCCAACAGATGGCACCGCTCCACCCGGACCCGGCGTCCAAGGACAACGACGGCCAAAAGGCAAATTGAATGGAAATTGCAAAATATAATGCAATTATAGCTGTGCGTCTGTGTTGATCCCTTTAAAGTTAAAACAATAAACTATTTGCATTCCACGTGCCATGGCAACGGTGGCTTTCGAAGCATAAAACGAATGCGATTAATTGTTAAATTGATATCCAAATTGAAATCATTTTACCAACGGGTATCCAGAAGCTTTGGATGTCATGCAAAATTCAGCTATTTTATGTCACTTTTATTGTTATACTCTTGCAAAAAGCATCATAGTTTCGTACTGGAACTTGTAAGATATAAACATCCAACTGGGCCATATATGGATATCATGCATTTTGAAGGGCACCCATCAGAAAAATTGGAAAAATATTGATAAAAGGATTTTGTTGGCAGGTTTTTGATGCAGAATATTTGAGAATTGTCCCACAGATTGTTTGAGGTATTCCGTTTAACGATCGGATAGAAATTGGCAAATATATAGACATTGGAAGGTGCCATATATGAAAATCCAGGATTTCGCAAGGGGTTGTATCAGAAAAAAAGGAAAAATATGGATCGAAAATTTTATTCTGGGGTTTTGATGCAGAATGACGGGGAATCGGTCTAGAAATCGATCAAGGTATTCCGCTTAAGGATAGTATAGAAATTGGCAAAGATATAGACATTGGAAGCTGCCATATATGAAAATCCTGGATTTCGCAAGGGGTTGTATCAGAAAAATGGAAAAATATGGATCGAACATTTTATTCTGAGGTTTTGATGCAGAATGACGGGGAATCGGTCTAGAAATCGATCAAGGTATTCCGCTTAAGGATTGTATAGAAATTGGCAAAGATATGGACATTGGAAGCTGCCATATATGAAAATCCTGGATTTCGCAAGGGGTTGTATCAGAAAAATGGAAAAATATGGATCGAACATTCTGAGGTTTTGATGCAGAATGACGGGGAATCGGTCTAGAAATCGATCAAGGTATTCCTCTTAAGGATTGTATAGAAATTAGCAAAGATATAGACATTGGAAGCTGCCATATATGAAAATCCTGGATTTCGCAAGGGGTTGTATCAGAAAAATGGAAAAATATGGATCGAACATTCTGAGGTTTTGATGCAGAATGACGGGGAATCGGTCTAGAAATCGATCAAGGTATTCTGCTTAAGGATTGTATAGAAATTGGCAAAGATATGGGCATTGGAAGCTGCCTTATGAAAATCCTGGATTTCGCCTGGATTTTGTATCAGAAAAATGGAAAAATATGGATCGAAAATTTTATTCTGAGGTTTTGATGCAGAATGACGGGGAATCGGTCTAGAAATCGATCAAGGTATTCTGCTTAAGGATTGTATAGAAATTGGCAAAGATATGGGCATTGGAAGCTGCCTTATGAAAATCCTGGATTTCGCCTGGATTTTGTATCAGAAAAATGGAAAAATATGGATCGAAAATTTTATTCTGAGGTTTTGATGCAGAATGACGGGGAATCGGTCTAGAAATCGATCAAGGTATTCTGCTTAAGGATTGTATAGAAATTGGCAAAGATATGGGCATTGGAAGCTGCCTAAGGAAAATCCTGGATTTCGCAAGGGGTTGTATCAGAAAAATGGAAAAATATGGATCGAAAATACTTTGTAATCCTCCTTTGTATTCTGAGGTTTTGATGCAGAATGATGGGGAATCAGTCTAGAAATCGATCGAGGTATTCCGCTTAAGGATCGGATGGAAATTGGCAAAGATATAGACATTGGAAGCTGCCATATATGAAAATCCAGGATTTTACAGAGGGTTGTATCAGAAAAAAAGGAAAAATATCGATCGAAAATTTTATTCTGAGGTTTTGATGCTGAATGACGGGGAATAGGTCTAGAAATCGATCAAGGTACTCCGCTCAAGGATCGGATAAAAATTGGCAATGATATAGACATTGGAAGGTGCCATATACGAAAATCCAGGATTTCGCAAGGGGTTGTATCAGAAAAATGGAAAAATATCGATCGAAAATTTTTTTCTGAGGTATTTCTCTCAAAGTTCTTATGAAAATGGGATGATATACTTAGAAAAAAATCTGAAATATGTATAGGTTGCTCCCTTTGATAATCATGAGGGACTTTCAAGCTTCGACATCAATGTTTCAGAACATATTGGTTTAGATTTTAATCCACAAATTGTTTGATAAGGTTCATGACATTGTAACATTATAACAATGGAATCTGTATAATTATTTATTCATTTTTAGACCAACAAGCTAAAATGTCGTGTAATTTACACCACACATTAAACATGCGAGTGTGTATCCCTACATCCTTTGGCTCCTGCCTGAAAAATTCCAGTCTGTCTGCATATTTGATACTTTGATCATTTTTGTACAACAAACAAGAAGTGAGTAAGCGGCGATGCCAATCAGAAGCCACCTCATCCACGGCTAGCCTCGGTGTCCTTTGGCAATGCTAATGTCCTGCCATAAACGTTGTTGTGTGGCTCTCTCCTCCTTCTTGTCCAGTCTCACATGCAGTAATCTAATCACCATCAGGAGCACCATCATCCCTTTTGGCCAGCGCAACATATTGACCGGAGCTTGTTTGCTTTTTTAGTATTCGGTTCAAAATCTTGGGGATGGGCTCCTGGACGAGGACCAGGACCAGGACTCCTGGTCCACCCATCTGTGGATAAATTTATGCACATTATTTGTCCTGCTTGGCATGTCGCGTTGATTTTTGCGCAATCCTTTTGCACATTTCCAAATGCCATTTGTATGCAAACTAACTGAGCTTTATGCCTCCATGGCCATCATGCAGTTCCCATTTCCATATCCACAATAGTCATTATCGTCATCATCATGAGGATGAGTTTTGAGCTGCCAAAGCAAGACATCAAAATGCAACAGGAGAGACGGGGGCTAAGATGGAGTGGCTCAGATTGTGGGAGGGATTTGCGGATTTATGGCTATTCCGGAAACATACATCTATGTATGTGTGCGCATCCTGCCTGTGGTTCGAGTGCAATAGAAATATGAGACAGCAATGCGACAGTTTTAACAAGGACCTATTTCCCCTGCACGGATGAGCCTGGGAAGCTGGTTTTGATTTGCGGCCGGCAGCATAATTTATATCTTGGCTTTAACTGGCAAATATAATTAATTAAAATTATTCAAAATCAATTATAAATAAGCTTTCATTTTCAGTAATATGATGGCCCACCTTTACCATAATTGTTTTTTTCATTTTATTTTAATTTCGACCTGCAGTTGACTTTCCTTTTGAACCCGGTTAACATTGAAGCTATCACAGGTGCAGAGGTTCTCACTGCTTCGCTGCAAATCTGGTCTTTTTTTACGCACATTTTTAATGCGAAAAATGATTGCCGACTGTCTGGCGTGTTCTGTATTTTTGGCAAAAAACGAAATTTGCATATTTGATTAATTTGTTTGGCATTTTGAGACCACTTTATATTCATAAATTTGCAAATTAGGCAGCTCCAACAGCCCCCATTTCGCATAAATGTGTTTTTGAATCGTTAAAAAGTTTTCCCTCAAACCGTATTGATAATGTGTTTTGGCCATTTTTCCACCGGCAGCCCCCCTAGAGTGCACTTCCAATTAGACTTGGCCCAAAAAAAAAAAGAGGGAATAACCAAAAAGAAAACTGAAGACTGAACAACTCCCAGGCGATAAATGAAGCGAAACTCGTAACTTTTTCGATAATTGTTGATAATTTTCGTGTGGCAGTAAGTGTTTCTTTTATTCTCCGGCTGCTCGACTTGTCAAATGTGCAACAGCTGCGGGCAAAGTTAAACAAATAATAAAGTTTTTAATTATAAGTCAGGCAGGCGGGCTGGTAGGGCGTAAAGTTTATTTTCCAGATCGTATCGAACCGAAAGACTTCGCAACTTCATTGGCCTTTGGGCAACTTTTCCATACACACATGCTATGTGGCAAGATGTGTGTGGCATGAGGGAAGTCAATGAAATTAGTGCTGCCGGCAGAAACTTACCAAAATAAGAATAAGAAACGGAAGTGTTAGTTGTGTGACATTTGCATGACCCATCCCCCTACTCCACCTTTTCCACATCGATCTCCCGCAGCGTAGTGTGGCATAAAAAGTTATCCAGAAACTTACAAGTTTGCCTGAAATAATCAGGAAGCGGAAACTCAAACAATTTGCGGTGCAGCTCAAGGTTTATTCCAACTTTGGTCTCCTCAATTGGTCATTGACTTTGGGGCAGTTTCCCAGTGCGTGAGTGGCAAAGTTTGTTGAGTTCTGCAACAATGTTGTTCATTTTCAGGTACAGCTATCCGGCAAGTAGGAAAAAATTAGAGAAAAGAACTGAAACTATGTAGGATTTGTTTTGATTAAAAATAGGAGTATTAGTGCGTTTTTCGGATTTTTAGTCAAAAAACATATAAAATGAGAAATTCTTGTTATAATGTTTACTATTTAGAAGTTTTAGGTGTGTTCTCTTTTTTGGAGCTCCCCTTCTCGTCGACCATGAGCTTTCCTTCCACAATCAGGTCGACCCACTCGTCCCATTCCTTCTTCCACTTCAGCATGCCCTTGGCCTTGCCCTCGTCCTTGAGGGAGCTGAAGCGCAACGAGTTCTTGGCGGTACGCTTGAGGAACTTTAGATCGGCGTTCATCGGGGCTATGCCCAGAAAGGCCATATAGAAATCGTGAGACAAGGGCTTGGCCCTCCAAAGGGCAGGGTTAGCTGACGAGATCACCATGGGCACGTTTTCGGCAATCAGAGTGGCTGCCGGATGGTTGCGATAGTCGGAGCCAAGCTGGAGCACTTGGTTGGACACCGGACAGACCTCAAAGGCGATGTTCATGTACTTGGCCAGATTCATCAGAATAGGGTGCTTTGTGATGGTGTAGCCGTGGGAGATTCGCTTCGCCCCCAGCAGTATGGCGTCTATCAGGTTCTCGTCTACGTGGGAGCCGTACCAGTTGGTCTGGCCAGCGTGGAAATAAAAGTCTATGTGGTCGGGCAGCTTCAGCAGCTCTGGGACATACCGGCTCAGTGGATGTTCCTTATCCTCCTGACCCACCAAATCAAAACCAATTACAAAGCCTGGAAACTCTTTCTGATACAGGATGAGGAAATAAAAATCTTATGAAGGATCTGATTCTTAAGTATAACAACTCACATTCAATTCTGTGCACTCCTTGACGTACTGTGCCACAACATTGGGTTCCACATGCCTCAGATTGGCGTAGATCAACTTGCAACCTATGAAACCGGGATTCTCCTCCTTGAACTGACGCAGTGTGTCCCTGTATATTTCCACGGCAACCCTGGCGGGCAAACGGCTACCGTCCAGACAGTAGAGACTCGGTATTAGCGACCGGAGCTCTATGTACTGCACCCCATCCGCATAGAACTCTTTAAGGGCGTTGTAGAAGTAATCGCCCCAGACTCCGGCATACCGGAGGAGGCCCTGCAGCAGATAGAAGATGCCCATCAGGTGCTGCCAGGCATGGTCGTTGGTGGTGAAGCTGGTGAGAGGATACATGCTGAGGCGTGTTAGCAGGTACTTCTTAAGATTTTCCTCGCCGCGATACTCCCTCAGTTGCGCCATCGTCTGCCACTCGCCGTCCTTGGAGTCAGAGTCCTTTGGCTTCTCCTTCGAGAAACGAAACTCCTCGATGTGGCAACCGTTGTTGGTGGTGCAGACCCAGAGGTTCTCCCTATAGGTGACTTTAATGACCCAGTCCAGGCTGCTGATGGAGGAGTCTATGAGCTTGAGAGCCCCGCCCTTGGGCATCTTCTGCAGCATTTGGAAGAGTGGCGACTCCTGAACTTTATGCAAGACCTCAAAGATGTGATAGCCTGGGGCGAACTTGGTGGGGTCCATGATGCCCTTCTCGTACTCTCGTTTCTTCTCGCACATGATCATTTCGTTGGCGGTGCGCTCCTTCAATGTCAGCTGAATGTCATTGCCTACGGCATTGTAGCGCTCGAAGGAGGTGTAGATTTCGCGGAGTACCTTGTAGTCCTCGGGCGTTCTCTTACGCAGATTGGTAGCGCCCAGCAGTTCGGCCAGGGAAAGGGTGTCTATGTGGTGGTGCAGGGATCGGGTGACAGTTGGAACGGCCCTCTTGACCAGCCTGGCGGACTGCCAACGACAGGACAACAGAGCCGTCATCTGCAACGAGGTGGGTTCCGAAAACAGATAATTTAATTTCCAAAAACTAATTTTGAAGGAAAAGTCCAACAGGTTTTTCTTTTTGTTTGTTACGAAAACGGAAATAGAATTTCTTGGAAAGTTTACATGGACGGACGGAAGCGGAGCTCGTTAATTGAGATCGTTATGGCTATCGAATTTAATGACCATCACTACTCGGTACTATATTTTGCCCAAGCAGTCACAGAAGTACAGTCATTCAACTGTCATTCCATAGCGTAAAGAAACTTGATAAACTTTTAAATAAAAGATACATTTTATTGACTGTTCATACAAAGAGTTATGTAAAGTCGTAAGTAAATATTTGGCAATCATGTTGCCTAGTTTAATTAGCATATTCATTTACGTAGCAATAAAATCTAACAAAATTCCTTTAGGCCGTCTGCTCTCACTAACTGGTCTTCTGGGCCATTCGAGTTGAGCTTCTTTGAAGTGCAACTGGCATTTGCATTCCAGACTTTGTTTTTCTGGCCTCATCCACTCATCCGCTTGTCAATCGGGCCTCAGACCCGGCGATTACCACGTCCTTTTTACCCCAAGGCCAAAGGACACTCTCCAAAGAGTTTTCTGATTTATCTAACGAACTAAATGGAAGCAAGAAGATACATCTACAAGATTCTGCTTAAGTGTTTTTTCAGCATAACACAGATACAAAGATACAGATGCCGATGCTGAGTATCTGTGAGACACGTCTTTGACACATATGAGTGCACGGGTGTACGTGTGTGGAAAGTGCAGTGAGCCCTGAATTTTCCCGACTCGCCCTCGGGCCCATGTGAAAACTTTTCAAGTGTTAACGAGTTTTGTTGCACACACATGTGTCGATTGCATACGTAGTGCACTTAACTCGGCAACTTGAACGACATTTAAGCATTTGGCAGTGGTGTTGCTTTTGTTTTTGGCCTCTGCAGTTGCCTTTGCAACAAAGAGCCGTTGCTGAGACAAGTGGCAAGCTGATATGCCGCCTCTGTTGTTTGCCAGAAAAGGAAATTTGATTTTGTGCAAAAACAATTTGCATCTTAATTGTGTGCCACATGCCACATGTCGAAGGCTGGCAAGCTGGAAAGTGTGTAAGAACTGCTAACCAGTAAATACAGTATTGGTTGCAAATTTTCCTTTAATTACTGTTGATCACTTTTGTTTGGAAGAGTGACTGAACTAAATGCTCAAATTTATAAGCTAATAAATAAACTTTATTAAATTGTATTTGATTCTGTTAGTTGACTAGTTGGTTGAAAATTTCTTAAATTTACACAAGATTCCTGGGGATTCATTCCATTAGCCCAAAACATTCCAGCCAACCAGCATTTTTTGGCAATTCAAATCGAGCTGCTAAACCCAGCCACAGCCAAAAATATGTTCATTTCCACATCTGCAGCCCATTTTCAGTTTTCTTTGTCTGTCAGGACCACGCCCCCACCACACTCTCTCGCCCACAAAGACACACACACGCCCCGTTGAAGGCGTCGCTATAACATCTCCATTTTTTTCCCAGCTTTTCTCTGCTCCTTTTTTCAGTTTTATTTTTATTTTTTTTTGCTTTTTGCAGTTACAAATTATGCTCATATAAATTTTTATAAAACATTTCTGCCGTTGCCATTTTATTTTATGTTTCTTTTTGTTACAACTGCGTCCCACACACTCCCACTCTGCCACAATCTCACACTCCCACACGCACATCCTTTACAGTGGCCCCGAAAAGTAGGCAATGCCTGGCGAGCGCCTTTTCAGTTCAGTTCTTTTCAGCTTTTTTTTCTCCCAGTTCCTCGTCTTTTTTATTCAGTTGGGTCTTGTCTGCTGCAAAATGAAGAGCAATTCACACTTGAAAAGTTCCAGCATGCGTTTTTAAGTTGCCCCAAACAACTATTATATGCTGCTCCTCCGTTTTTCCGCTTCTGTTTCTTTATCTTTTTCCTGTTTTTTGGTTTTTTTTGTTTTTTTTTTTTGGGGCAGCAGAACCTCTGAATATTAAGCAAAATGGCTGAGAATATGACGCAGTTCTCGAAACCATAAAAAAGGGTTCGGTGGGCCGCTGGCCTCTGTTTATTTGCCTAAGCTGACTAATTTAATATGCATAAATGCCGGCACATGTTTCATAAATGGCATTTTAAAGCGGCACCCTAGCCGAAAATTGCTTCATTATAGGGGGTTTGTATGTGGGGTTTTGCCAAAAGAAAATATATACGTAAGTTTCTTTAAATTTAGGAAAATATACACAATCAACATGGTGTTTTGTGTGTTAGCACACACACAAAGACATAGTACATAGTGCCATTTCCGGTTTATGCAATCCGGCGACAAATGTACTTCCGCTGCAGCCGCAAAAACACTGTTGCATGCTTTTGTGCGCCGTCAGAGATTTGTGAACAATGAACTCTGAAATTAAATGTCATAATTAAACTGGCAGCAGAGTTTTTTGGATCCTGGCTAGATGGCAAATAGCAAATGGCAACTGGCAAGTCGGACAATTGTCAAAGCGCTGTCTGATAAGCCGCTGCAGTCTGACATTTAGACTCCGGCCAGACGACCAAAACACAGATGCTTAAACTCTTTGCCACAAAATGTGTGAATTTGTGTGTGCCTGTGCATTACCCATTCCGGAATCAGAGCCTGGTCCGAGCCGGAGACAAAAGCTTCTACCAACTTGCGGTTGTCGCTTTTTATCTCTCGGCCATTGTCACTCGCACAATGGTAACCAAAATGTCCTGTGCCTCAAACCGTTGCTTCATTATCATTCCGACTTCTATATCCCAAAACCATAGCCTTGTCCTCAAATTGATTTGTCTTCTCACTCGGCACGTATCCGTCCTCTTTCGCTCCCTCTGACTCACTGCGCGTGGCAATTTACATTTGTGGCATTTGAATTGCGCGGCACGTTGTTGCCTATTTGAATTATGTCAATAGAATTGTGTCTTCAATAAATGTCAATAAGCAAGGCGATTGATGAAAGACAAAATTTACAGCCAGGCCGCAAAGTGGGCGGTCTATTCCATTTTTATTTGGGGGAGGACGGTTATGGGAGAATGGGTGTTAAAGGTCCTTCAAGTTTCAGGATCCACTGATAAAAATAAGGAGCTTATTAGCTCTAAAGTCTACGTAGACATATAACTTGCATTTATTTCTATTTTAGAGCATTACAGTCTCCTGACAGACATTAAACGCTTTGCCTGTTTAACGTTTAATGTCTATGAACCCAGACCCAGACTTGTGCTCACATCCTTTCAGGACAACATGTTTACAGCAATAGCTGTATTATAAAATAATATTAACAATCCAGCAAGAGCATTTAGAGCCGGACCCGGAGCCAGCAACAAAGTCAGCAAAGTATAGCCAGCTGAGAGTGCAGTAAACGTTGTTGAAAAAAATAAAAGTCCTGGCATTTACATTTATGGTTATGTGGGTGCAGCTACTACACTTACATGTACAGCTTAGGGTCTAAACTGCAACAAATGTGGCAAGGGCAAGGGAACGGTGCACACTGGCTGCATTAAAAGTGCATGTGTAATTAAGGTCAGCAGCGAGGTCCAGCTAATTGGCCGGCTGTAAACCAAAAGGCCAGTACAACTTTGTTTGGTCATAACTAAATTTGTTTGTTTGTCCCGCCTCAGGTTGCCCGCCTCTCGCTTCCTGCCATAGGACAACATTTTCTCTTACCACAAAAAGCTTTTAATCCAGCCAGGTACTGGCCGAGCCAGGGTCGTAAAGCCTTATCATAATCCACACGACTACGGGGACAAATAAAGCCTATTCGAATGGCTGGAAATAGGTTGAGCCTGGCTAAGGATTATCGAATATGTATTTGAATAGCAGTCTATTTGATATAGCTGCTCGCTTTCACGTTGAGTGAGGGGAATACCTATTAGGGAATCCATTTACACGGTACCCGAAAGTCTCATTCCATTAGGTGTCGAGCGTGTTTTGCCACAAATTCCAGCTGACATATATCTTACTTTGCGCCCTCTCCTCCAAACAAACATCGTATCTATTACTCAGCAAAAGCCGCACAACACGACACACACAAAAAAAGGGAGATGGGAGGAATAACTTTTATAATAAAATTATTTGTTTGGGGGCCGAAGCGAAATAGACAACTTTTCAGCCATACATTTCATTTGTGCGAAATGTCACTCCAGGGCATACTTTTGGCCGAAAAGCGACAACAAACATAAGAGGAGAAATGTTTTGGCAAATTCTCGACTTCGTCGGAGGTCCTGTCTCCTCCTTGTCAATGGCAGGATCCACAATTAAGCACTTGCCGTCGGGCTAAATATTTGCATTTAAATAAAAATGCATTGGATTTAGTTGGAGCTTTTCATTAGCCCATAGGAAGCCACTCTTGGCCTGGTCTTTTTCCGTTTGTCTGACTGTCTCTCCAGCTGTCCGTGTGTCTCTCCGTCTGTCTGTCTGTCTGGCACCCAAAGTGACTTTCAATGTAAACGTCAGAGCTTTGTGCTGTTGACATTTGTGCGCCGCCAGACGACATCACAACATCCTCGCGGAGCAGACGACGGCAACAATTTGCGATAAACATCTCAGCGGCATGCAAATCCCTTTTACGAAATGCACAGGAGAGCACTTCTTGGTGGAGTGTAGTAAAAAAACGACTTTGAATTAACCATCAAGCATTCCTGCAAGATTTCTTGCCACTATTTAAGTTGCATTACTTTAAAACACGAGGAAACATTACCCAAACTAGTCAATACTGAGGACTATATTTTATTCTCGGATTTATAACGTTGTCTTTTTCGTTGACAGAAAATGTAACTAGTCATAATACTGGGTTACTTGGATGATAAAAAAAAAAAACTAGCCGTCACTTTTAAATAATTTGTGTCCTAACTTAATCCATCGTGGACATGAAGAGTCAAAAAGGAGTAAAAGAGTTAGGCAAATGCCATTCCCCCAACAGCTCGCATCCGTGTTACTTTTCGGTTTGTTTCCTCCAGTACGCCCAAACATCGCAGAGGTTCACCTTCTTTTCGCACTCGCACGGTTGTATGGGCTCGAGCAGCTCTCCCTTCTTGCACTCGGAGAAGCTGGGATACTGGCAACGCCGCTTCTTGCAACAGAGCGGTATTCTGGTGGGCAGGCACGACGGCGGCCGACGTCCTGGCTTGCAGCCGGGAGCAACCAGCTTGCAACAAGGCCATTCGTCGTTACTGCCACAGGGCAGATCGATCAGCTTTTCGGGCTTGCCGCGAGTCCGGGCTGGATTCATGTCCTGCTCGCGGCACTCCACTTCGGTGCACTTGGGGGGGCGGACCAGCTTCCGGCGTTTGCGTATTGGGTACTTCTTCAGGCGCTTTACAGCTGGCCTTGGTAAGGGAAAGCAGTCGCACCAGGTGCGTTGGTATTTGCGCTCAGCCTTCAAAAAACGATCATATATAAAATCTACTAATAATATTACCAAGCTAAGGTCCCACCTTATCACTTGGTGTATAATGATCCAAGTCCATGGGCAGTGGCTCCCAGCCACAGGGATCGTCCAGGCACTCGGGCGGAGGCAGGCGACCTTTTCCTCCAGCAAGGCGTCGACGCCGCTGCTCCATCCACACCTTGTAGTCCGGCGCGTACATCCTGGTGGCTGTCAAGGCTGCGGGAAAACGAGGCACCGTCAATAGAGTCCTGCGGACGTACTGCAGCAAACCCATTTTAATTTTTCCGTTTTTTTTTTTCACTAAAATTTAGAACAAGGGAAGCCAAAAAAAAAAAAAAAACAAAAATGTCCGGACGGTTATAAAAGCGAGAGCAGTGGGGGATAGGTGTTCACAACTAGGCCGTAATCATCCGACTGTGTTTGAGAAGCTATGACATGGACCCGATTCTCTTTTTAGGGCCTACTATGTTGGTTATTTTTGGAGGCCTACTTCGATGGAGAAAACTATCGAACTGTTTAGAACGTTTGTTTTAAAGCAGTGGTCGGCATTGATATGATCTTACCGCATTAGTTTACTAACACTAACGAACGAATAGCAGAAAGTAGGCTGTGAGCATGACGTTTCACACATTTATACTGTGTGTGTGTGGCAGAGCTCGGGCAGAGAAATTTCCTATGCCCCCGAGCATGATACAATTATATAAGGCAGAGGTCGGCACGGCCCTATCTCGGGGGCATAGGAAATTTCTCAGCCCGAGCTCTGCCACACACACACAGTATAAATGTGTGAAACGTCATGCTCACAGCCAGAGAACGGCAACTTGCCACTCGCACAATGAGTGGCACGAAAAACACCGGGTATTTTAGGCACCCGAGTGTCTTTCATGCACGAAGTTTTGTGCATGAGTATTTACCATGCACGAAACTTCGGGTGTCTGGAAACACCCATGATTTCGGGTGCTTGCCTTTTTTTTACCCAGTAAGTTTCTTATGGGTGGATCGCAGGCACAAACAAAAAACGGATGGGTGGATCGCAGGCACAAACAAAAAACGGATGGGTGGAAGAACGGCACAAAAAAAGATCATAAAACGATCGTAGGAAAGGGTTCTAGGAACCCGTTCACGAAGTCTAGACGCTTAGGTAGTTAGAAAAGGACAGAAAGGAAAGAAAAGGAGAAGGACAAAATCTTTCCCCTTTTTTTAGGGTGGTTGGTATGATCCGAACAAGCGACCGAAAAACACTCGGGTGTTTTGCGTCTCAAGACACATAGGCACAAAATCATGGGTGGAAGAAAGGCAATAGGCACAAAATCATGAGTGCAAGAAAGGCAATAGACACTTTGTACTCATCCAAAAATTGTGTGTGTCGTTCTTGCCTTTTTTGTTTTGTGTGGCGAGTGGTACTCGCACACAAATTTTTATGGGTATGCATAGGGTGTCGAAAAGTGTCACCCGTGCCGTTCTCTGCTCACAGCCTACTTTCTGCTATACGTTACTAACACTAATGCGGTAAAATCATATCAATGTATTGGGGTGCCGATCACTGATATAAGGTAGTCCATTCCACTGACATATCGTTCGGGTTTGCTCACTTAATTTCAAACTGTCAAACTGAAAGGTGATTTTGTTTTCATAACTTTAACCCTTAAGTGGCCAAGAAAAAAATGACTTTTTGCTATTATTGTCGCAAGAACGTGCTAGGCGTAAAGTTTGTGCATGTTCCAAAGTGCATTGAAAAAAGAGCTTTGTGGGAGCAGTCTTTGGGCTGTACCTTTATTGAGAGCTCTCAAATTTGCGACGTTTTCATATGTAGATGAGGTTTCGCGTGGAGGGCTGATGAAGCCTTCATCGACATTTAAAAACAAAATAAAACAACTTGAACTCATATTTTTACATATTGTTAAGGACACATTTCATATAACTACAAATTTAAAAAACACATTGTTAAACGCCGCTGAGCATGTAGATATAAGTGTAAACATAAAAAAATTTTATTTTAAGATACGCATACACTTTAGAATTAAGAACTTAAACAAAAGATTGGCCATCCAAAAACAAAAACAAAGAATAATGTCAAACTCTAAACTTATAAAAATAAAATTATAAATACTACAACTCTTGTCATAACTAAGAAAAACTTTTAGCCCCATGCTCCATGTAAGGGTTAATCAAAGTACTGTATAGCCGTTTCACTCGCACTATTCAACGCTTACTATGTTAAAATAAAAATAATGCAGTTAAGTCAACGAATGGACTACCTTATATAATTGTATCATGCCCCCGAGATAGGGCCGTGCCGACCTCTGTTTTAAAGCTTCATTGGGATTTTTTGGTCAAAAAGAAGTAATCTTCCAGAATACTTCTGGAAGTAACCGCGACTTACAAAAGGCTCAATTACTCAAGAAAATCCAATATATTTCTTCAAATATTGGCATATAATCAATGTGGGTTATAATACATTTTTGAGATACTGATTTGTTGTATCTTATAAAATAAAAGTCGGTATTATTATACTTAAAGTATTGGATTTTATTAAATTATTTTCAATCATTTAACCATTTCCCACATACTACCCCCAATCGCCCAATCATACCACCAATAAATAAGAAACATGAAGTTGAAAACTATAGCCGTTTAATAAGAAGGTTCATACAATTATTGTTCACTCATCAGTATGTAAAATACTAAAAGTCCTGTGCCTTGGACTTTCGTTAGTCACTAAAATTTAGTATCCAGAAACCTAAGCAGGAGTCCAGCTCTCCTGGGAAACAACGGAAAGCGGCCTAAATAGTTTTAATGACATCGATCAGGTCGGATCCGGTATAGAGAAGGGAGATTAGGAGTACGGTATTCAATTCAGTCGCTACCAAATCCAAACGTCATCCATTATCCATTATCCTGGGTTTAGTGGGTAGAGGGGTCGCAGGGGTCGTAGCCCTTGTCTATGGGGTCACAGGGTCCGCGGCGATGGCGAGTTCTCTTCATATACCTGTAGAGTTCGCACGTGGAAGGCACCTCTAGGCAACGGCACTCCACCGGACGCGGCTTGGACAGCTCCTCGTGCTGACACTCGGAGAAGCAGGGGTACTGGGTTGGGGGTCGACGGCACCGGGGTCGCAGCTTGGGTGGACCCAGGCAATCGACGCGCTGGTTGGCGAGGGGGCAGTTACACATCACAAACTTGGGGCAGCTGGTGTATTGAGCGTCCTGCTTGCACGGCATGGGATCGACCATAAAGCATTGCTTCTTTTGGGTCCTGTGGTCGCACTTGTTGTATATCACCCGGTAGGAGCGCTCCGGTGGAACGCGGCGGCAACAGCGCTTTGGCCGCCGCTGAAAGCACTCTACCCAGTAGCACTCATACTTCTTGTCCAGGGCGGCGCTGGGCTTGTAGTAAAGGGGGTCCATGCGCACCTCAAGGAGGCAAGGGTCCGTGCACCACGGCTCCGGATGATAGGGTATCTTGCATCGGGGGTAGACACCCAGGTACTTGGGGTGCTGTACGGCTAGCTCCTTGTCCGACTTGCACGGATCGAGCTGCTTGTAGTACTTGGGCTTGGGCGGAACCGGCGGCGCACAGTCAGTGTTCTGGGGCTTTTTATCCGCAGTACAGATGTCCCCCCTGAACTTGAAGCATTTGTTCTTTTCCCCCTCGGGGGTTGGACACTTGCTCTCCAGCCGCTGGCTGATCCTCAGCATACTTACCGCCCCGCTGAATAGCTTCGGCCGCAGGGCTGTTGAGCTGCTCTTGGCTAGGAACATTCCGAGTGTCTTCGACCAAAACTAACAAACTAAACCAAAATGATTGGAATAGAATTTGTTTGGATTGGTGCTAGTGTACCGAAAAGAGAACTAAAAATTTTGATCCGTCCTGTCGAATGTCTAGATGTGTTGTGGCGCTCTGCCACGTTTCACCAGGCCAAGCTACTGGCAGAGAGTGGAGTTTGAAATCGAAGCCAACTTGATAGGATAGAAATTAATAGCCTACTTTTTAAAGGGCTAATAAAAAATATTTTTCTACTTAGAAAGGCTAAAATGAAACGGTTTTTAAACTTTTAAGTTTTAACCAAAGAAACCTTAAAAAAACCATTTAAACCAAGGCCCTCTGTAATATTTTTTTACAAATTCCGAACGAAAAAAGAAGGCACCCCTCTTCTGCTATTCTACTGACTTCCAAAAAATACATTCCTCTGGTATCGAAATCCATGCCAGACCTTCGACCAAATGGGTTTTCCTTGTTTATACCAGCGAAGTTAATTGCGAGGACTGTTTGCTGGCGTAAAATAAAAAAAAAACAAAAATAATAAAGAAAAATAGACACGCCAGTCTTCACACAGTCTTCCCAAGGGGGTCAGGCCTTTTGGCCGGATTGTTTGCAAGTTAAATGCAAACAGAGCGCAGCCAGCAAAACGACAAAACGGAACCGAGCAAACAATAACAGTAAAAAATAAGAAACAGAACAAAAAACTGTGTACAACTCCCTCAACCGAAGGAACAAAAAACCAAACAAGAGAAATCCACTAGAATAAGTATACGCCGGGTGGGATGCTGCTCTCCGGGCAGTTTTCGCTTTTACGCCGATATTTTCATTGGATCCACACCTCCGGACCCCGCGAGGCCTTCATCCGGTGAGTGGCCATGCATGAGGGCTCCCATAAAATTGGGTCAATTGCTGTTAACAATTTGGCAGCGCAATCTCTTCGGCCGTTTCGATTTCAAGGCGTTCTTCCAGGCCAGGTCTAAAAAAAGCATCGCGGTCCCCCCGTAAAAAACCAGCACGTACGAGTGAACCTTTTGAAAAAACAATTTCCGGATAGAGTTGTTCGCTGCAAAAAAAAACCCCAAGGGGGAAAGAGTAGCCGCTGCAATCGCAGTTCGCTAGGACCTGGGGGCGGGGGCAAAAGTTCAAGTGGAAGCCGGTCATGGGCTTGTTCGCTAATTAATTACTGCATTTTGTTTGTTATTCATTGAGCGAGCGAACTTTTGAAGCGGGGCCGACTTGGTTTTCAACTTTTTCGGAGGGTCTATTCCATAAAGGATGAAACTCAACGGCAGCTTCACTTTCCCTGCCATCCTGGCCATTTAGCCCTGGACCCTTCCCGCCAATGAAGCTACAGACAGACTGCCCTTAAAGCTTAAATGCACTGAGGAATGATTTCATTTACTTGCAATCAATGAAATTGCACTGATGCAATTTTCCCCTCGCTCCAAAATAAACAAGGTCCGGGAGCGGGTTGGACTCTGGAATTGAGATGGAAAAAGCGGATTGCTTACGGACTTGGTAGTCCCTCGTTCCCCCAAATGGATACTATTCGGCTGCCTGTCCACCCGTCTGTCTGACTGTCACGTGTGCCTGGCAGACTGGCGCATCCTGGCAGCCGGGGCAGCTTTTTGGTAGCTAATGTCTGGCGACAGTAGCACTGAATCCCCCGGATCCCTGGGATACCCATTTCTCATATCCTTGCCAGACACGTAGCCTGCAACGCAGAGAGATTTGCGAGAGATGTCAGAGTCGGAAAATGAACAGAAATCGTAGGCGGAGGTGAGTGTTCGGATATGAATGGGGGAGACCTTTACTTTAATTTTTCCCACTCCCTTGCAGTTGGCCGAATAGTTTGTTATCCAGTCCAGGATCGAATGATGGTGGCAACCTCATGATCCGCAAGAGTCAAAGCTCGTCTAGCGTTCTGCCCCAAACGGCCGGTGGGTCCTTCGCTACGGATCCTTCGTCAACGGACCCAGGCGAGACCAGGAGCAGAATTGCGTCCCTCACGTCGGGGTCGGTGGTTATGTCCTCGTACCGTGAGGAGGCCCTCAAACACACGAACTTACACATTCCTCACGTGCTCCTTGAGGGGAATCAACCTGACTCCAGAAAAGTTAATGAAGCTACAGGTACGAATGACAGCGATTTGGAGCCGGAGTCGACGCTGCGTTTCCAGTCTAGGGAGAAGGTCCTTAAGTATGGAGTGGATTCCAAGTTAAGCTCCAGTGGCTGGGACGTCTATGACAAGGAGGAGCCCCTAATTACCAAAACAAAGAAGTACTATAAAAAGCGTAAGTTATGAAGCTTCAGGTGGATCAGAACTTGAAAAGTTTCTCGCAGGAGCTCCGCTGGTGCCGCGTTTTGATGACTCCGAGGAATCCTTATTAGAGAACGAGGGCAAAGCCAAATCCGACACCGTGCGCGTAGTTCCCACATTCAATCGTACCTTCCCAGCCTCAGAGAGAAGATCCCGAAATACTGATTGGATCATTGGGGCACCATCTGATGATGTGGCAACCACTGATTCGTTTCGCTTCTCGGACGGTGGACTCGGTGCAGAAGAAGGTTTCAGATCCCACAGAAGTGACGGGACTGTGCTAGGAAAGGGAATGGGTTTTGTAAGTGAGTGGTGCCGCAATGCCAAGCCGCTGACCCCTAACACCGATCTTTATACTAATTCAGATCTACATGATTATACCGCCGGACGGTGGCTTCGGCTGGTGGATCATGGTGCTCAGCTTTTTCTCCCAAGTAATCGTCGACGGCATCATCTTCTCCATTGGCATCCTGCTACCGGAAATAAGCAAGGAGTTCGGGATTCCAATTTCGGAGGCTGTGCTTGTGGCCAGTGTCCAGATCGGTTCGTACTTTACCTTCGGAGCTATAGCCAGTGCCCTCATAAACCGTTTTGGATTTCGGCCGGTGGCCATTTTCGGAGTTCTTGCCTCCGCCATGACCATTATGGCGGCTAGCTTTGTAAATAGCGCCGTTCTCCTGGTTGCGCTCTATAGTGCCGTTGGTGGGTAAGCCATGTTCTACCTCATTCCACGAATAATTGAATCCCCTCCCCAGGTGGCTGTACCCTGAGCATGATCTGGGTGAGCTCCCAGCTGATTGTGGGCTACTACTTCGAACGATACCGACCGATCGCCAATGGCTTCTCGTGCAGCGGCGCAGGAGCGGGGATATTTATCTTCGCCTTCCTCACTAATTACCTTCTCCCCATTATTGGATGGCGAAACGTGCTCCGGATGCAGGTGGGCTTCCTCTTACTCATTCTGTTCATGTCCATTGCCTACGTCGAAGTGCCTCCCACCCCAGTGGGTGTGTACAATCGCGAGGTGGACGAATCCAGTTCTGAGGAGTACTACGGCAATTTTTACGTCCAGGACTTTATGCGTTTCTCCAAGGAGTCCTCGTACAGCAAGACGCGCAGTCTAATGAGTGTTTACGAGCCGCCAAAGAAGCGGAGGTGTGCCAAGTGCTGCTCCTGCTGCCGGGTCAAGAAAAAAGATTCAGAGCCCCACAGCTTCGAGGAGAAAACTCTAATCATAAAACCTACTCCAATGCAGCGGGAGGATCTCTTTTACACGGGCCCTGCCGACTATGACGAGCCTCACAGCAAGGAGAACGTTGATGGCAAGGACATCTATTTGATAGGAAACACCAGAAGTGTGGGTTGATAAGTCGTCATTTTTAATAGTTTTTATATGTAGCTTATGTTTAGACCAAGCAAGCCAACTATGCCATCCATCATATTCAAAAATCGGACGATCCGGGCAAGAAGAGCGCTGCGGCAAGTCGACATACGTTAGACTACCGCCATCAACCAAAGAAACGGTCCTGCATGGATAACATGTTCGTGAAGGCCCTGTTTCGACTGTTTGACTTCCATCTGCTGAAGCAGTTCGAGTTCCGGGTGCTGGTGGCCTCCGCCTTTCTCTTCCCCATGGGCATGAACATACCCTTTGTCTACTCCAAGGCCCGGGTAACCATCAGCAAGGAGTACGCCTATTTCATAACGCCGGCCATTGGACTCTCCAACTTCGCGGTGAGAATTGTGTGCGGCTTTATAGCCTACAAGAAACGCGAGCTGGACACGCTTGTTTGCGGCGGCGGGCTGGCTTTTGGAGGACTAGTCGTCCTGGGTAGCGCCTTCTACGGCACGGACTTGGTGTGGTTCCAGATATTCTACGGACTGTGCTATGGCGTGGCGCCAGGTGGGTAGACTTGGATATCACTTTCATTTCCTACACAAATATTTCGTCCTGCAGCCGTCTACTCCACGCTGCGGGCTCTGATCTACGTAAGGTATCTGGGGCTGTCGAAGCTTACGAATGCCTTCGGCATCACCGCTCTGGCTATGGGACTGGGCGTATTCATGGGCACCACCATTAGCGGCATGATGGTAAGCATCACGAAGGACTATGTGGTGCCCTTTGCCTTTGCGGGAGTGTGCCTTATCGTCTCCGGAAGCCTTAAGCTCCTCCTGCCATCGTTGGTCAAAGCTCGGAAACGGAAAAAAGGTGCGAAATGATTGTGGGGTCTTGGGGACGTGGCGGCTCTATGGACTGGATTTTGTGTTTTGTTGGAATACCTCTTTCTACGGTTTCTACTGTGTTTTATTTTACAAATGACTTATGTATGTCTTGTATTTTTTATTTAATACATATACAGATGGAATAACTATTTTATTGGTTATTTTCCGGCTAATGCTATCATTAAAAGGTCTGAATAAATGCTTTTATATTACATAAAGGATAAGGGACTAGATCTTGACGGTCTATCCACTCTTATAAGACAACAAAGGTATCAATTATCTGGCAATAAAATGGGGTTGTTGGAGATTTATTTATATTTTTTTTTGGGGTTGACTTTTATTGCAATCCATTTAAAGTTATTAGTTAGCTTAGTTTACATCTAATATTAGCTTAGTTGCTGAACTACACACAGTTCCACACAGTGTGTTGTATTTGGTTTTTATGGCGTTCCGGTTTTGGATGTCCTTCCGACCATTTTCCTTGTTTGGTTATGCAAATGTTCACGCTTCTGGCTTTACTTTGATTTGCTTCTAAACTTTGTACGTCTACTGTTCAATGTTCAATGTTAATTCTGGCTTCCTCCACATTTTTCATATTTTATCATGAATGATTTTTTACATATTCATTAGAGCTAAAGCAAACAAATGTTGAAAATAAAATGAACAAACAATTACAATAAACTAAGAACATAATCAGCTTCCAATCCGGTTCTCTGTCTAATCCATTTTGTTTTTAAATATTGTCAGTAGTCTTCCCCCATCGTCGTCGTCGATAATTTAATTCACTTTTTCCATTGATGTCTCTGCATTTGCTGTGCCGGCTGCTTTAAAATCAATCTCGTATGGTAATCTAAATTTAAATTAAAACCTCGTCGGGAGGCGGGAGTGATCCACCACCGCATGGCCTTGCTATGGTCTTTCTTGTTCACACAGAAAAAGCAATTCTTACGCCTTAAATTAAAATTATATTTATATCGCCTGGGCCGCCGCCGAGTGGCTCGTTCATGTGTCGGAATCGGACCTGAAATCGAGAGGACGATAGGGAATCGGAAATACATTATAGATTTCTTTTTCGGTGCCTCATGGCCTGTCTGCTCACCAATTAAAATAGGTCTGCGACCCGTGACAGTTGCGCTCGGTGCCGCACCACTTTGACTGTTGGAGCGCCGGACACGGCCGGCCGCCTCGCTTGCCGTGCTTGATGACCTTGCGGTAGCGATGCATCTCCCCGATGCCGCAGCTCTTGCTGCAGGCCGTCCACTCCGACCAGTGGCTCACCCGGCAGTCGCGGCGCCTCTGCTGCGAGCCCCGTCGGCGTGCCGCACCACCGCCTGTGATGACCTGCGATTGTTGCAACTGCGTGGCATTGATGTGGCCGGCATCTGTGGCACGTCGATAGCTGCTGGCGATGCTCTGCATGATGGCATGCTTGTCGTTCTTGGGCACAACGCTATTGTTGCTGTTGTAGCTGTAATTGAAATGTGGCAAGGTAAGTATATTTTCAAAAACATGGCTAAAAAAAGAAACAATCCTAGAAGTTATAAACCTATTCCCCCCATTTGCTTGAGTGGCTTAACTTGCTAAACTCCAGTAGGCTCTGCCACATTACCCATACGACCCGTTAGCCATATGCCTCATGCCCCTCTGATGAAGGTGTGTGTTCACGTTTGTTATTTCAGCACATCAACTCGGAAAAATTTCAATTTAAATTTTGCCCTTTTCACTGCCAGGCTTCGTGCCTGAAATTCAGAGCTCTTTCGAGGCAGAGCCCGGCAGAAACAGTCAGGACCTCCCCACGCGAGAACCACAATCCCCGAAAGTTTGGCCGTGGCGGTGCCTGGCTTCCTTCCTTCCTGTCTTCCTGCCTTCCTGCCATCCTTCCTGGGCAACTTCCGTGTTTTGTTTCCTGCAGTTTTTCGTTTATTTGCATACACATGCCGTCGTCGCGCGTATGCCGCGTGCAAAATCGCGCAAATAATAATAAAAAATCAAAAGGCAGACGTGGAGCAGGCGCAAGAGTGTGCAAAAATAAATTGGCAAAAAAAAAAAGAAACAAAAAGAAAATATTGAAAGACCCTGGAAGGAGAGACGCCAGCCAGTGCCATGGGCCCGACGAATATAATGAAGAAAATTCCCAAATTGAAATTACATACAACATTTTTTTTCGGCTCGCATACCTTTTCCTCTGCTTATTTGAGTTTCTGAATTTGTTCGCTCCTTACCCGGGAACGTGGAAGTTATTAGCGACAATTTACTTCGATCATGTTCACGGCAATTACCATTAGATGAGCACATCAAAACGTATTAAGTAAATGTTGTTTCACGAGCAATTTGCATTTCCCCAGCACCCAACGAAAAAAATGAACCGAAATTGGTAAAAATTGGCTCAGTCCCCTCCAGTCTCGACTCTCGGACATGTGACGGGAAAATTGTTCATCAAGTCGACAGCAAATTGCTTTTCCAAATTGAAAAGCAAAAGCAAAATATGATTAATGTTGTAATTCAGTTAGCTTTCTCTGCATAATTGAACTGACAATTGGTGAATATCTGTCAGGCGTAGACACTATTGTTTTAAACTCGTCTGGCTTCAGGTTAAAGAGCAAACGTACACTAAATCCATTTTTTTGTTAAATTAAACAGGAGATTACATTTTAAAGCCTAACTTATTTGATTAACTTTTGAAAAAAAGGTCCTCAAACACTTCCATTTCTCTTCTCATGATTTATTTCAGGGAAATAGCCATAACTTAAGAAATACTTATCAGATTATCCAATGTAATACCTTCCCAATCTTGTATTTTTCAGTAGTAACATTTTCCATTAAAATCTGGCAAACTAAAATTTTACCCGATTTTCGAAATTTTTCAAGGGGTAACATCATGAATTTGGCCAAAAATTTGTCCAAAATTTTATTAATTGATTTTAAAGATAATTTTATGTAGATCGAATGAGATTAAAGCACTGAACTATAAATGGTATTCCGCTTTTAAATCGGTTGGGAAATAGTTGAAATATTTACTAAAAGGTATCTCAAAAGATAACATTTTTGGCCATAAAAAAAATACAACCGATTTTCGATTTTTTTCACTTTTTTTTAAAGAAAAATATCCATAACTTTGCTAATACTTGCCAGATCCTGAAATGGTATTCCTTCCCAAACTTGTATCTTTGAGTACTATAATTTTCAATTTAAACCTAGCAACAAAAATTTTGACCCATTTTTCGCTAATTTTTTAAGGGGTAACATCGTGATTTTTGACAAAAATCGATAAAAATTTATTTTCCTCACATTTTTAATATTTTTATGCAGATTAGAGGTGCTTGAAGGCATGATTCATTAATGGTGCTCCTTTTTGCAATCGGATGCAAAATGATTAAAATATTGGCTAAAAAGTGACTAATAATTTTGACATTTTGGACAAATTCCATCAACATGGTCTTAGCCATGACAATTGATGGATCTAGGTTTCCTAGCGCTACTAGGTTTTAGAAAAGCTTCACGCAAAGTATCATTTCCCTATAATTATGAATTATGACTCAACCCGAGCATGTGACGGGAAAATTGTTCATCAATTCGAAAGCAAATTGGCTTTTAAAATTAAATATCAACAGCAAAGTATGATTCAATTAGCTTTCGCCGCATAACTGATAAATGGCAATGAATTTTCTATTGTTTAAAATTCATATGGCTTGTTCATGAAACAAAAACCATAATAAAGTTAAGAATAATGCATAAATTATGCGTGATGTTTAATTTAATGTCTTTTTAATTGTTGAATGCACAAAATCACATGGCAGAGCCTTCAAAAAAGTCCATAGGGAATAAATTATTTTATTTTACAAATAGAAGACATATGAGTGTAAATGTAGGATATGGGTATAATATTATAAGGAATAACACTTGAGCACACGCGTTACAGATTTCCGAAATGCCAAAATCAAAGAATCGTGCAACAGAGCACCTCTCCGGTCGGTTGGGCATAAACTGTGGCCATTGGAGCCTGTGCGCCCACCACCACAGTGGGTCGCGGTGGCGGCGGAGCTCCGATCACAACGGCCGGCGGCGGCGGTGCGCCAATGACCACAGCAGGAGGCGGTGGGGGAGCTATCACAACAGGTGGTGGGGCGAAGCCGACGCCCACAGCCATCGGGGGAGGTCGCGGTGGTCCGCCAATGTTGATGCCCACATTCACGGCGGGTCCTTGACGAGGGGGCGGCGGCCCGTAGCCCGGTCCCGGGCGAGGAGGTCCGTATCCATAGCCGCGTCCTGGAGGTGGTGGCATCTTGATCGATTGCTAGCTTTCAACTGACTGACTGGAGTGGCCAGCACTTTGCTTTCTTGAGTCTCGGCCCTTATCTTTCTGGTAATTAGATATCAATTACTGTGATTTTTTATTTTTTCGGGGGCTTCGGCTTCCGCTGATTAGATATGCGATAGGCCAAGGCTAAGGAGCTTACCCTTCCAGCCAGATAGCGATAAGAGCTTCTACCTAAATGATAAATGTTGGATGTCTTTGTGATATGGATGGACTGTGATTCATTGGCAGGGGGATCCCTGGGGCTTAGGCTATGGTGCACCTGCAAGGGCAGCACCTCTTCTTGGGCGGGTCAACTGGCAAGTCCCGCTTCTCGAGTCCCGGCATATCCTTGGGTGTCTCTTGGGTAAGATTAGTTTCTCCGGCCAGTGCAGCACTCAAGGAGTATCGCTTGCCCGCCTTGTCCGTGTTTTGGTCGGAAACTTCGCCCACCAAAATGATTTCCGCTGGAGTGGGCGGTTGTTGGATAATTTCCTCGGTCATAACAATGGACTCTGACTGGGTTCCGTTTCGGGAACCCTCTACAATGATTTCCCTCTCCACTATTTCGACCGAGGGACCTTGATTCTCCACACCATCTATAACCAGATCGGTGAGAATAAAGTTATTAAGTGGCTTCGGAGGAGAAACGGTGGCAGGTAATTCCGGCACAGGCGTTACTTCCACAGACTCTATTATGACTTCAGATAGCGGCGGCTTTGGTGGCGGTATTTTCAGCTTCAGCGGCGGGCTTTGAGGAGGTGAGGAGGTGGGAGTGGTTTCCACTGATTCCACAAATATGGCCGTTTCCGCTAAACTTGGTCTCGGCACAATACCCACTTCGACTGAGGGCCTGCGAGGTGGTGAATTAGTGGGGGTAACTTCTATAATTTCCACATAAGCCTCGGCTTCGCTCAGGCTTTCCGCCTCCACGGTGGGACTTTGTGGGGCCGTGTAGTATGGAGTGAGTTCCTCCACCTCCACATACGGATCAGCTTCGATTAGACTCTCCCGGAGAATGGTGCGCGCCTGATAGGGAAATGGTTCTGGAGGAGGCGACGGAGTGGGTGTAACTTCCAGAGACTCCACCACAAGTTCTTGCACCAAACTGGATCGGGGAAGAAAGCCCGTAGTGACTGGAGCCACAGCGGACGTTGTTCTTATTTCAATTTCCTCCACAACCGATTCAGGGGATTCGGGAACTTCGATTTGCTCAACTATGGTTTCTACAAAGCCAGTTTGGGAGGGAATATTTAGAGGCAGTGGCGGTTGGATGGGTGGATTAGCTTCTGTAACTTCTATGTTTTCCACAATAGTTTCTACAAACCCGGATTGAGGAGGTAGGCTAACCGGAAGAGGTGGAGCCTGAATTTCTGTGGTCTCTTCGATATTCTCAACTATGGTTTCCACCAAACCTGGTTGGCTTATGGAAATAGTGGCTTCTGGAATCACTATTTCTTCCACCTTGACTTCTTCAATGTTCTCTACGATCGATTCTACAAATCCTGACCGACGCGGAAAATCGTTTTGGAATGATGATCGCAGCGGAATTTCCACTTCACTGGTGACTTCTATACTCTCTACTATGGATTCTACTTGTCCTGGCTGAGTTACGTTTTCAACTGGCAGCTGATAAGGAGGATCGTCTTCCACTGTGGCGACTTCTATGCTCTCCACTATCGACTCTACAACACCTTCCACAGGAACAGAAGATGGAGCTGGGATCTGAACCACAGGATCTACTTGTATGACTTCTATTTTTTCCTCCACGATCTCTGGCTCGGATTCAAAACCATTAGATGGCAGAAGAAAAGGGGAATCCATATCCGTTTCCACTTCCACCACTGTTTCCTCTGAACCGAAACCATTTTCCGGCAGCAAGAATGGAGAATCAAGGTCTGTGATTACTTCAACACTGTCTTGAATTGGAGGCTGAGCTTCGACTTGAATGTCCTCCACAATAGTTTCCGTGAATCCTGTCCGTGCGAAGAATCCTTTGGGTAGCGGGGCCTGAGAAGAATTCAAGGCAGCAGCTCCTTCAATATTCTCCACAAGTCTGGCCACAAATCCGGGTGGAGGAATGTCATCCGGTTCATGTATAATTTTAACCAACGGAGTAACTTTCACAGTCTCCGTGATGGTGACATTTATGGACGGCTCTATAACGGGAGAAGTAGCCACTGATTCGGAGACTATTTCGGTTTGTACCACTTCGGCAATGGGGGACAGTGGGGGTTGCTGTGATGCTGGGAAGAATCCGGTCTGGACTTGAAGTTGCGGCGGCGCATAGGCTGGAGGATCCACATCCTTAACCACGATTTCCTCTTGCACCACTGTTACGTTTTTCTGGCTGGCCTTGTAGGTGGTCTCCTGAGTCTCCGTTTGCCAGACCACAGTGGAGAACTCATCGGAAGTTGAAGTGGTGTCTAGGTCTAGGTCTGTAGAGGGACTGGAACTGGGCTGATTCCAGAAGGCCTGCGGTTCCCAAACCGCGCTGAAAGTCTCCTCCTCGGTGGGGGTGAGGAATGGCGGCGAGGTCTCCGGCAGGGGCGGCGGTGGTGAGCCCTTTTGCTTGTGGTGGTGGCGATGGTGTTTTCGTGTCTTGGGATCGCTCTCCACCAGAATCACCTCCTCACTGGCCACCACCTCGACATTCTCCTGGCGGTGGTGGCGGTGATGCTGTTTACGCGACGTCTGATCATTTTCCACTAGTATGACCTCCTCTACTAATTCCACGTTCTCCTGGTGATGATGGTGGTGGCGGTGATGGTGGTGCTGATGGCGTTGCTTGGGGATCGGTGAGCCCTCGATATTGGTGATTTCAATGGTTTCCTGCAGACGCGTGCCACTGCTGGTTGCTATCGTTTCTATCGTTTCATTTACACTCGACTCCTCCACGATGGTCGTTTTCATTTTGTCGATCGGTTCGTCGATTATTCCGTCCGGCTGTCGTTCTGCAATTAACTGAAAGCTGAAATGCTTTGTTTGGCCCATTTATACTCGGTGTTTATGTCATTGGAAATATATTTTTATGCTTTAAGTCCTTGGTACAGATAAGATAGTTACTATATCTAAGCAATGTGGCAACTATTTGTCTTCGACCCCGACCCCGTCGCCAGTTGTTGTTCTTGTGGTGTCTCTGTAAAATTTTAAAAGCTTATGTTTTGACAAAATGTTTCCCGCCTCGGTTATCCGCTTACTGTTGGACTTGGACTGTGGCTGCCTTTTCTGGTTCTCCTTGTTTAGACGTCGCTGATTGTTGGAGGCTGAAGCGGCGATTACCGTGAATGTTGCTGGCGGGATTCCGGACATGTTGCTGGCACTTGACTCTTTACTCGATTGCCGGCCATTTCTCTACTTTTATAGGCCACCCGCGACAGCGCATTCGATAAGATAGTAATTACTACGAGGGGGCATTTTTTTTGGCACGGTCTATCTCCGGGGGCTATGGCCTTTGTTTTTCGTCTTCAGAATGTGGAATATATCGCAGATGTACGTTCCCATCCTTCCAATCTTGTCCGAGTGCCAGCAAAAAGGCGCAGAAGACTGGCAGGCTCTTGGCACTCGAACACGTCCCGGGCTGGTGGGAGGATGTCATTAAATATGCAGGTTAGCAGTGCCAATGGTGCCAAAATCCACTCCAGCAGACCCGGCCAAAAGTGGCACGAAAACAGACAACGTGGTGGCGCTCAGATGTGGATGCGGATATGGATGAGGACGGCGTTGGGGAAACTGGAACTGTTAGCAGGGATTAGTTATAGTAGTTTGCTCGTTCGGAGTTCGGAGCAGGCCGCCTTTTTAAAGATGCAGCATTACCCAGGTACGTGCCACTCAGGACACTGCTCCTTCAGTTCTTCAGTTCAGCTCTTTAGTTCTTTCGGTCGCCCCTGCAACCGTCCGAAAGTGGTGTAATGTGCTTTGAAGTGTGCCAGAAAGCTGTTTTCTTACCACCCATCCAGCTACCCGCCCAGTCACCCACTTACTTGTTTTTCCAAGGCCCGAGGCACGTTGCTTATGCGGACAGGGTGTTGAAAGTAGTTCTGGGTCTTGAGTTAGGGGAAAGCACTTTACGCATATGTTAAATAGGGCCAATTGAAGTGTCTTTCTGCACTTCTTGGCAGATTGCGTATACGCACAGTATACACGACGAAGTCACTTTAATTTTGGGGCTTTTTCTTGGGTATTAATAGAATAATCTATATCATTTTTATTAGTCATTACCTGCTGACAATAGATAGCTTTTAGATAAGGTTCTCATTTAATTTGGAATTTGTATGTACATGCTATCGATTCTTTAAAGTCTTACAACATTGACCGTGGACTGTTTAACGATAATAATACTATTGCTACACTATTGCTAAGAGCCTTACTTCTGCCTCGAAACTTTATTTCATTCACCTTGGCTTTCACCTGCTTTTATTACCAATATATAGCACACTTTTACGACACTTACATGGGATTCATTTTGGCCAACAGCTGGGAGCGAATGCGCTGCTTCTCGTCGTCGAATTGCAACTTTTTCTGCTGCTGCTGCTGTTGCTGTTGTTGTTGCAGTTGCTGCTGCTGCTCCGTTTGTCGCTCCCGTTCAATACTGGCGGACAGCTCGTTGTTCATCTCCACGTGATTGTGCTCCGCATCGAGATGGGTCTGGGTCTGGACCGTTTCGTACTTGCGATCGTCCTCGGCAATGTTAAACACCTCGCTCAGCTCGTACTCCTTCAGCTGGAAAGGACAACGGAATGGCGGAATGTTAGTCCCGTGCTCCAGACACATGTGCAGCATATTAATTTACGGGGATTATGTGCCCGGCATTGGCAACACTGTATACGAGATGCGGAATGTGGCTGCCAGCCGTGGCGAGCGGGCGAGCGGACGCCCAAGGACTGGGGACTACAGGTGCTCTTAACGCGCTGCTAATTTCAATTTGTGGCAAATATTGACACAGCCACAGGGGTGCAACAGCCGTGCTGGGAAATGGCCTCGCATGCCAATGGCATTAAAATCAGCCAAGAGATTTGGCTAAGACGCCAAGGAATTGTGTTTGGAACATGGGGAATTCTGGGAAGAAATACTTGGAAAAGTTTCTAGTTTTAATACAAATTCTTTCTAAATTAAGTTACTGTTGCTTCTCTATGAAAATTCACTTAAACTTGATGTCACAACCAATATGCCCGACCATTTCTCGGTGACATATCAAGGGTGTGGAAAAGTTTGTTTGGTGCGCTGTCGCGCATTTTAATTTATTTGTTTGGGCCGCTGTCATTTTCTATACACAATACGCATTGTTATTGTTGGCCCCTCTGCTTTTGGCCGGGCTTATCTTGGTCTACCTTTTGCTACCTACCTACCTACCTATCTACCAACACATTCTGCAAATGCGTCGACAGAGGCGCCAACAACCACAATGAAAAACAAAGCCAAAAGACAAAAAAAAAAGTGTGCAGAGCCGCGTGTTGCTTTTGTGGCATTAAAATACACAATAATCCAGCGTACACACAGACAGACACCGGCACAGACACAGATACTGAGTAGAAAAACTGTGAAATTCCTTGTGGATTACCCAGACAGCGAGCGAAAACCCTCAGCATTCCTGGCTGCCGAGATTACGTGCCTTTTACCATTTTACCATTTTGGCCATTCACTAAATGACATACAAATATTCCAGCAATTTTAGGGCTGAGGCCTTTCACAATTTAAGAATTTAATGCCTTCCCTCCAGGCGAAAAACTACCCCCAACTAGACTGGCTTCGAGGGAAGCAAATCAACACATAATTACACTAGGTCCTGGGACATGTGTTGGCCATAAAATAACGCATATAAGTAAATAACTTTCCATTCGCTTGCCCATAAACAAAAGGGGGCTGGCCCAGACAAAAGTCCTTGCCAGCTCCGGGGTCTTGTTTTTCGAAAATAATGAAAAGGCAGACTTTTGAGGTCTCTACAGGACAGACATTTGATTGCCCAAAGGATAGAAATATGATTAGGAACCAAAATTAAATAAAATATACAAATTGTTTGAAGAAATCTTGTAACTTTTATACTTTAATATTAAAGACTTGGTCCAACTCCTTCTGGTAACTAAAGGACCCTTAGAAAAAGTATGCCTAAAAGGGGCTGGAGCCTTCACACGCCCCCTTGGAAAAGCCTAGAAAATAAAACTAAAATTAGAAGTGTCAAAAAGGCGTTACAATAATACGAGTTGCAGCAACAAAAGCAGACACATACGCCGCCACACCACCAACAAATAAAGAATAATGACCGCACGTACAGTGGTCTCTCGTTGTGTGGGCGGTCCACTCCCTTTACATATAAACTGTTGCCATGAAATAAACTATGCAAACGTAGTCGAAACATCTGGCTGGGAGGTGGGGCGTTGTGGGGACTGGGCAGGATAAAACCCTGGGCATAAATTTTATGTGCGCTTCCTTCGGCCACACACATAAAAGCAATTTTGATGAGCGACCCAAGGCATTGTAGCCGAAAGTGCGCCACTTTCTGAAAGTCTTGGATGTCCAGCAATATAATTACAATGCTCAAATTCCAACAGTCCTATATAGTCGCTTTCCCTGTCACTTCCCTGGCCCGGAGTCTTGCTCTTTTGGGGCGTTTTTACGGCCCAGGCTGCCTGCCCCTGTTGCTGTTCTTGAGGGTTCTTTGTTGCACGAACGGAATGGTTCACGTCGTCGTTTTGTGTCTGGAAGGGCAGGCAGGCGGGCCTAATGGATTGGCATTTATTAAGGAGTGCAGAATAATGTTTATCGCATCGCTTGAAAACATTGGCAGTAAGGATAATGCAGGACATGTTTCTTTCGATGCCAAGTAAAGCGTTTTTCTGTTAAGGATTTCTTTGTCATCCAAAGATGGGACTGTTTCTCATAGAAATTTAAGTAGTTTTATACTTTATTTTATTTAAAAACTTTTTCACTTTGTTTACATATCCTTTTAACACATTTTTTTAATTCCCTGAAATTATTTAAACAACCCGACTATCCCCCTTCTCAATTTCCATGGAAATAATTATATGGTAATTAGCATTATTTCCGGTATGTACTTTTTTCTGCGGGCCATTTCGTTTTTCGTTGGTTTTTTTTTGCTCGGGATCCTGGAACCAGGACGGGAAACTCGACTGATTTATAAAGCGCATTAACGTATACGCCGTAACACGCAGCCTCGGGAATACGCCACGCCTCCACACGCACCCCCCTTCCAGCTCACACACACACACTTGTACGCGAAACACGCACAGCCATTACACATGTTTGCATGGCGTCTGTGTATGTGTGTGTGGTGGATCCTGTTGACGCCATTGTAATGCTAATGGCTCATTAGCACTTTGATTTTTTCGCTTGGAATTTTTTTTGGTTTTTGGAAAAAGTCATTAGGGCTGCCCCACTGTTGAAGGGGAAAAGGCATTTTAACTGCTAATTTGCTGTTAATTAACTTGTTTAACCTTTTCGTTTTTTGGCCACTGCATGCAGGACTACAAGGACCATGAGGGGCAGAAGACAGCCCTCGGAATCCTCTTACCTTGATGAACTGAAACGTGGCGATGGGCGGCAGCCGCTTGCTCTTCGGATAATAAAAACTACCCGCCGGATGGGCCGGATAACGGGAGGTGATCCGATAGATGACACCCTGCGGAGCTGTCGGCCAGTTGGGCGCCGTGAAGGTGAAGCCATTGTCGGTGCCCGCATCCAAAGGATCCAGTTCAACTGTGACGGTATCGATCCAGGAGCCACCCACGCAGAGCTAAAGGATAAGAAGATTAAAGAGGTTACTTACAAGTGGTTTTAAAATTGATAGTATCATAGATAATACTACAGTCTATTCAATTATAAAAAGTAGTCTGCAATAAACTGCTTTTAATTATATTTAATGGTGTATGAAATTGGTTCTGTTAATTAAAAAACATCAATAGACAGAAAATTGATAATTGACAATATAATCACTCCATAAATCATAAAAAACTATGGTCTGAGGATTTTTTTTCTCGACTTTGAATTGAAATTAATGGCTTAATTTTTTTTAGAAGTTAAATTTGGCATTAAAGTTTAAATCCATTTCATAAACCACTTTCGGGCCACTATATGGGCACCGATTTAAAACCATTTTCGATTTTTTTGGACTGGAGCTCTCACCTCGAACGAATCAACGCCTATGAACCAATCCGGCGAGGGAACAATGCGTGTCATTAGCGAGACCAGACTGTGATTGCTGTCGACAAACACTTTCGCCTCGCTGCGCCCGGCACCCATTTGGATGGCCGGCATGCTGAACTCGTCAAAAACGCTCCTCTCACTGTTGCTGCTCC